GTGGTGCTAGAACTCACTGTCTCCTGGTAAACAGCCCAAAGTCACCCAGCCAACTTTCATTCCTAAGGTGGTGCTAGAACTCACTGTCTCCTGGTAATTGGCCCAAAGTCATCCAGCCATCTTTCAGGTCTGGGATGTCTTAAATATATCCCAGTTGCCAAGTGCCTGAATTTTGATCAGGTGACTTTGGAGATACTGTGACAGTCGTAAGTATGAGGACCAGTTTTAAGTCCTTCTTTCAGTGCCATTGTAACTTTTGAACAGTTGCTAAACGAATGGTTTTCAGTTGAGGACCACCTGTACATTTGCCATGCCTCTGGTGGAACAAGAAAGACGTTCTGTGGGAATGTTGGAGACAGGGTACTATTTTTTAATGCTAAATCAAAATTTTGATTTAGCATCTCGAAGTAGGAGTTGCCTTCGATTCCATTTGGGCTCTTGATTCATCCCTATCATTTTCTGACTGCATTATAAAGTGATCCCCAATGGTTTGTTCCAGGATGTTTTCCAATATCTCACTCTTAATTCCCGGATTCCAAAAATGATTTCCCATCCAAGACTTGACCCAGGCTGACCCCACTTAGCTTCAGAGATCAGCCAAATTCAGCTAGCTGGTGCCAGCTAGACAAGATATACCTCCAATTAACTTTACATCTTTTCTTTTTTCATAGGACAGCTATTATTTCGGAAGGCCTTAACGGCACGTGCACCAAGTCAATAGCAGGACACAGACCTGATGAAGATACAACCATGGGTAAGTCTTTTTTTTTTACCTTTTCTTGCTTGATCCTATATCAAAGGGGGTGTAAAATGGAACGTCTTTGAATTCTTGTGGAATTGATAAATTGTACACAGATACAAGGAGAACAATTAACAAAGAGTAACAATGAGGTTGTGTGTTTTTGATACAATTGCTTCTGCTGACCTAGCCTAGAATTGTGTTAGACCTTCTAGCATTATCTCCCACTGCGGATTGATATTGAGCTTATTCTGAATGATTATAGATAGTCCTCAACCATAATTAATTTAGTAGTAGTAGTAGTAGTAGTAGTAGTAGTAGTAGTAACAACAACAACAACAACAATAATAATAATAATAATAATACTAATTATTATTATTATTATTATTATTATTATTATTATTATTATTATTATTCAAATTCAAACAGACAAGCACCTACAACATAACACCCCAGACTTAACAATTGTCGATAAGAAAGACAAAAAAGTCTGGATAGTGGACGTGGCAGTGCCTGGAGACAGCAGAATAGATGAGAAAGAACTGGAGAAGATAACAAAATACAAAGACCTACAAATAGAAATAGAAAGACTGTGGCAAAAGCAAGCAAAGGTAGTACCAATAGTAATAGGCGCCTTGG